AATACTTGTTTCTCTCATTATTAAGGAAGTATCAAAGGTAAAAAAGTGTATTTCTTGGAGTTTCTTCTTCATAGAGGAAGTATTTACACTTGGAGAAGTGTTTATCTCCATGGAGAAAGCCCCACCCAAGTGCTCAAAGGTCTAGCACTGTCCTTTGTAGGTAAATATCCAGGGCAAGTTCTGGCATATTCTGGGCTTCTAATGTTTGGTGAGCCCATTGGCTGCTCATGAAGGAGAAAGCAGAACGAGTCGGCCAAACTGTGGGTAGAGGGACTCAGAACGGATTCTACCTTGACTGCAGCCTGACTCAAAGGTCCTGTGCATGCTTCCCTCCTCTCTCAGCTTCTGCGTCCTCTTCTATAAGATGAGCAGGAAATTTCTGTAATTGTTACACCTAACAGCAAAAATAATAAAATAAAAATAATAATAATAATAATAAAGAAAAATGAAAAGAAACAATTGCAATAAAACCCAGCACTGGCAGTGCTGCAGGTGAATGCCCTAGCAACATAGTGAGATCCCATCTCTACTTAATTAAAAAAAAAAAGATAGAGAGGCACAGTGGTTCACATTGGTAATCTCAGCACTTTGGGAGGCGAAGGTGAGAAGAATTACCTGAACCCAGGGATTCAAGACCATCCTGGGCAACTTGGCAAGACCTCGTCTCTACAATAAACCAAAAAAAATTAGCCAGGGATGGTGGCACATGCCTGTGGTTACAGCTACTTGGAAGACTGAGGTGGAAGGATCATCTGAGCCCAGCAGGTCGAGGCTGCAGTGGCAGTGAGTGTGCCACTACACTCTAGACTGGGCCACAGAGTGAGACTCCGACTCAAAAAAAAAAAAAAAGTGTAGCCATCATGACTCTCACTGCTAAGTGCTTCTGCAAGAACTTTCTTAGACATCATCAGACTTGAGTAGTTTGCACTGATATAGTATCGTCTGACTGATAGCCTGTTTCCAATTTTCCTCCATTGTTCTAATAACATCCTGTACAGCATTTTGCATTCCAGGATCAAGCAGCAACTGCACTGGATGGTCTTGTCTCTGGAGTTTTGTTTAATCTAGGAGTGCACTCTAAGACATCAATGGCATCAATAATAATGGTAGTGTTTATCATAGTTAGTGTTTGTGTTCTTGTTATGAAGTTGGTATTTGCAGAAATTAATTGATACCTCATGCATCCACACATGGTATAGAGGTTAAAAACTGCCTCCTAGAATCAAACCTGTCTCAAGCAGGTTTGGTTCCTGGAGTGGATATGGTGTCTCTCACCCAGATTTCCTTGGCCAGCTGACAACATCTCATATCCGCCCCTTCTCTGGAGAATTCCCCAATGGGAGACCCTTACTTAGAAGGATATAACCCCTTCCCCTCCTCAGCTCATTAACAGATCTTGGCCAACAACTAATTGGAATGTGGGTGCAAAATAATGGGCTTGTTTTATAGCAGGTCAACTCTGCAGTGCATGTGTGTGATTCAACAACACTGAGTCTCTCCATGAAGACACATCCTTCCTCAGCCTTTCTCCCCCTCTCATGAGAACTGTCCCTCAATAAAACACTTGAAGAAGATTTCATGTCTCAGGCTCTGCTTCTAGGACACCCAGACCAAGAAAAACACTTTCTAGCTGTGTGTATTAGAAATGCCAGCAGCTGGCCAGGTGCAGTGGAAGTGGATCAATCCCAGCACTTTGGGAGGCCAAGGCGAGAGGATTGCCTGAGCCCGCGGGTTTGAGACCAGCCTGGGCGACACGGTGAGACCCCGTCTATACAATAAATCAAAAAAATTAGCCAGGCGTGGTAGCGTACACCTGTAGTTCCAGCTACTTGGAAGGCTGAGGCGGAAGGATCACCAGGGCCCAGCAGGTCGATGCTAAGGTGGACGCTAAGGTGGCCATGAGTTTGCCACTGCCGTTCAGCTTGAGCGACGGAGTGAGTCTCCAACTCAAAAGAAAAAAAAAGAAATACCAGCAGCCTTATCAGATATATCAACAAAGTAAGTCTTCATACTTTAATGTACTGGATGGTTATTTCTCACTTGTAGTGTGTCTACTTGGCAGAGTATGGGGTATGGGGAAGGCATATTCTGCTTTATGTGAACATCCATGAACTAAGGCAGATGGCGGCTCTGCAGTCTTTCATGTGTGCCTCCAAGGTCACCTTGATGTCTACATTCAGCTAACAAATGTCAGTAGGAGAAGGCACTCCTGCTGCTTAACCACTTCGGCTCAGAAGTGACGTGAATTATTTCTGCCCACGACTCATCAGTGGTAACTGGTCCCATGGACCACCCAGAGGAAGGGAGCACAGATCTTTGCTGGGCAGTTATCTTTGCCACACATTGTGACCTTGGGCTGGCTGTTTAGCTCCTCTGGGTAGTAAAGCTGGGCTCTTAATAGGGTCTCCCCCATCATTGTGGTCATGTGTGAATGGGTGTTGGGACAGAGTCAGGGCTCATAGTGTTAACTGTCATCATCACTTGTTAAGAACCGGCTTGGGGCTTTTCCTCCAAAGATCTTCATCCTCACCACAACCCATGAGGTGCAGATAAGCCTCACATCCAGTTTACAAAAGAGGATAATGAAGTTCAGAAGGGGAATGAATGAGCCAAGGCTGCACAATCAGAAGCAACTGAGTCAGGCCTAGAGCAAGCAGTTATAAAGACCAAGGATTATCAGACTTTTAACTAAAAGGTCCCACGCCCAACTTTGTATTTGACCCTTGAAATATACAGGACTTCCAGGAAGTCTGCCTTAACATCCATCCTGACTTATGATCATACTCAGTGATCTATTACAGAAACAAAGAACAGAGTACCATATGTTCTCACTCATAAGCAGACTGAACAATTGTCATAATACTATAAGAAAGGGATTGGCAGTAGTGGGAAACTGTCAGGGGAGAGGGCGGGGATTGGCAGTTGAGGGAAACTGCTAGGGGAGGGAGGGGCACACCTCATCAACAAGGGTACCTGCATAATCAACATTTGTATACCTAACCCCGAATTGTACCCCACATCTTTATAATATATATAAATAAAAATTTAAAATAAGATAAAAATTTGATTAAAAAAAAAACCCGACTTAGTCCTCCCTTGCCCAGCCCCTATCATACCTTCTGCTGTTGTCTCCTTCACTTTCCATCCACCACCACAGTCCGACCACCTATACTGTTTCTAATCCTCACTTAAGCCAGGCTTGATCCCACCTCAGGGCCTTTGCACCTGCTCCTCCCCTGCCTGGAATGCTCTTTCTGCATGTCTTTCCGTGGCTGACGCTTTCCTTTCATTCATCTTACAGCTCTTCCCTGATCCTCTTCTTGCCCAAGCAGCCAGTTCAGTCACCTACTTTCACATCACCTGGTTTTCCTCTCTGCCCAGCACCCAGAAACATCTCATATTTTCCATGTTCATGTATTTGTTTAGTGTCTGTGTCTCTTACTAGGCTGTGAGTGCTGTGAAAAGCAGCAGCCTCATTCATCTTGGTTTTTCTGTTTTTCCAGCAACCAGGATGATGCCTGGCACAAAGTCCCATCTTAGAAAACATTTACTGACTAAAGCAAGATGTTTAACTGAGTCCTATGACCCCACTTGCCTTTTGCCTGTCTTTCCCTTCCTCAACTATCAGGGCTGCTTCAGGACATGCACAGTTGCAGAGGACACTGTTCCCATGGCAAAAATGTGAATTGCTGGGGTGCGGGCCAGGTCTCTGCAGCGCACAACCCATGCAAATGTAGTGATGGCTCTGTTGCCATCTTTCCCTTTTCATTCTTTTATTCAATCAATAAATATTTATTGAGCACCTTTTATGTTTCATGTAGGTAATATAGACATAACAAGAGATCAGGAAAACATATTCCTGACTATATGACAAATATGCAACTTGCAAATACAAATACAGGTAGAATTTGTAGTGATGTCAAAAAAGAAAAAACCTAGCTACAAGACACACATTGTTTTCTCTTTCTCAGCTACTCCTGTGCTCACCTTCCTTCTTCTGCCTCTCTTCTCTCTGTCATACACAGCCATGCCTACCCTCTACAGTTACTGACAGACACCCCTTATTCCTTCCTGATTCCCTCCTTCCCAGTGTGCAGAGCTGATGTGTAGGGGCCTGTAAAAATCACTTGTTAAATAGTTATGGATTTTGCCACGCTGTTGTTAGCTTACACTCAGACATGCTAGTATTTACACCACAGAAATTGGCCATCATTACACGGCAGGGCTTGTTGAGGTTGTTTTCTGAAAAACTGGCTTTTCAGCACAGCACTGCTCCCATCTGCTTCCAGCAAAGAAATGCTGTTTGTTCAAAAATTTCCTAATTTTTCCATAGATATTCAGTCTCCACTCCAACTCCCACCTCATGTCATACTTTAACTCTTTCCTGGTGGCAGGGAAGTGGGGACTCAGGGCCTGTGTTGTGCACTGAAGGGAGAGAAGAGAAAGCATGAGAGAAGGACGTGGAAAGGGGAACGAAAAGGAAAGTAGTACGGGAAGGAAACAGAAAGAACAGAGATTAAGGAAGCCAGTGGGGGCCGGGCAGTGGCTGGAGCAGGGATCACATGGGAACCAGCCAATGCCCACAACATAATATCCTCACAGGTAGTTGGGCCTTTCCCCACCTGGGATCAGGAAGTGGCCAGGGTGCCATGGAGAGGAGGAAACTGCTTTCCAAAACTACCTGGTAGAGGATGGGGGCGGGAATCCACAGAGCTGGGCTCAGGAGGAGAGAAGGGTAGGGATCTGGACCAGTGGGATCCTGGGGTCAGGTGCCTCAGTTTCTACTTGTGGAGGGGCTGGGGGCCTAGACTCCGTCTAAGGGAGGACAGGGCCCCTGATAGGCCCTTCAAGCCATGGAGACTCAGAGGGTAAGGTGCACACCTTCCTTTAGTAAGGCCCTCCCTTCCCCACCCCTTTCCTGTGCTGCCTGGATCAGGGGAGATATAAAGGGCTTGTTTCCTGGTGAAAGAGCAGAAGGGATTTTTCAGTCCCAGATGGTCATGAGCCCTGCCCCACTGCTGGCCCTCCTGGGGGTCATTCTCATGCTGCCAGGTAAGTGAGGATCCAACATGGAGAGGATTTCCCTGGAGGCAGGAATGAGGAGCCAGCTGAGATGAATTTGCTCTTCCCATTCAGGAGAGCAGGCCCTGGTCTGCCACTTAGGGACACTTGAGGAGGTTTGGAATGCATCCCAGCTACCGGTCCAGTGGACCCCTAAGCAGATAACCTGTGACAGCGGCCAGGGTTGCCAGGACACGCTGGTGCTGACTGAGAACGGTGAGAAGGGCCCGCGGTGCAGAGACGCCGCCACTCCCGCTCAGCCCTGTCGCATCCTGTGCAGGGACCGGGGAGCCCCCTCCCTGGCAGCAGCAACCCCGGGGGGGTCGGTGGGCCAGGAATCCTGATCTCCCGCCTGCATTCCTCTCTCATCCAGGACCCCTCGTGAGCTTGGTGCTCACCAAGGGCTGCACAGAGGCGCGGGACCAAGAGCCCCGGGTCACCCAGCACCAGACAGGCCCTGGCATCTCCGTGGTCTCCTACACCCACGTGTGCCGCCAGGGGGACTTCTGCAACGACCTCAACGACACCGCCCCGGTCTGGGCCCAGCGTCCCGGGCCCACCCCAGCAGGTGCCTGCGGGTGGAAGGAGGACCGAGAGAAGGGGGAGGGACCGTCGGGCGGAGGCAGTTCCCGGGCGACGGGTTTAGTGAGCACAAGAGGGTTGTCGTTCGTTGAGTGAGCCCGGAGGGGCTGTTCATTTAGTCCTCCCGCCCTGGCGCGCTGTCTGCTGGCTCACTCCCTCGACTCTCCCTGGCTCTCCCTCCTCCCCCATTCACTCCTGCTTCCCCCCACCCTCCCCTCCGCGCCGTCTTTCGCAGCCCCAACCCCTCCCCACCTGTCTACACGCATTCCAGGACTCCCCTGGCTCCGCCTCTTCTCAACGCCCTGGAGCAGCATCTGGAACGATTTTTCTGTGAAAATTCCAACCTCTGACTCCGGGCTGACCCTAACTTGGTAGTCGCACACTTTCCATTCTACACTGTTGAATGGTTTGGTTCACGAAGGTCTCCTGGAGGGTTTTTGTGTTTCCTTTTTCTAAGGGAGATTGACCTGTAATTTCCCACTTTCCTTGTCTGGTGTTGTAAATCGAGTTTTGGGCGACGTTTTGCATTTCTCTTCTCTGGATAGCTTGTGAACATGGAAGTCCCGAACTCCTGGGCTGTTTAAGATCCTGCAGGGGAAGCACTGGCTGGTTCCAGGATTCTCCTCCCGCCTTGACCGAGGAGTCCCTGTCCCTGTCTAACCTCAGAATGGCCAGACCTCCTCAGAAGGATCAGACTCCACCAAACCTGAGCTGGCTCAGGCCTTGGCAGCTCCTTCCCCACACCACCTTCCCCCCGGCACCCCCTCCTGTCCTCAGTCCTGGGCACCTCTCCCCAGATCGTCTATTCTCTCTGCTTCCTCTTTCCCTGGGCTCATGTCTCCAAGTCCCCACACCTGGGCAAGTGAGAGGAGCCCAAGGAAGGCACCTGGGGAAGATTGAGCAGCTTGCTTTTGGGGACTGGAAAAGTTGGGGTGGAGGAGGCGTCTGATCAAATCCAGCGCCCTCTCAGTACCCCTTACTCTGCCCGTCATCTCCTCAGCCCCAGGAAACTTACGGTGTCCAGTCTGCCTGTCCACTGAAGGCTGTCTGGGGAATGTAGTGGAGGAGAGCTGTCCCTCGGGGAGCACTCAATGCTATAATGGAGTCCTTGGGTTCAGGGGAGGTAAGTTGGGGACATCAGGGTCTCTACTGGGAATAAACATGGAGGTCTGGGGCTGAGATCTAAGTCCCTAGGGAGCAAGGCATGCGGCATGGCAGGGGACACAGAGGAGGGCGGACCTGGCCTCCCAGAGCCTCCCCCTGAGGTTGGATGGTCCTAGATCAGCATCACTAACCCTTCCTCTCTTCTCCTTTCCTCAGGAGGCATCAGCACCAACCTGAGAGTCCAGGGATGCATGTTCCAATCAGCCTGCAACCTGCTCAACGGGACCCGGGAAATTGGGCCCATGAATGTGAGCGAGAGCTGTGATCCCAAAGGTGAGTCCTGCGTCTAAAGACAAGGCTGTGTCCTGCATTGCAGCCCTGGGCACGACCATCCTTGCTAACATACAGGGCATCCAAAGCCACCACACCAAAGCCAGCAACCACAAGCAGTGTAGGTGGTTATGACTCACTCCAGCATGAGCAAGGGAGGGGATTCTCTGGGCAGGAAGTTGGGGGATTGGAGGATGGAGAGACCAAGAGGTGTCCAGCTAAAGGAGAGAGAGAATGTGTAGCCAGGGGACAGAGCTATAGGACAGGAGCCTGCTGGTGGGAGTTTTCAGTGATGGTAGGCTAAGTTAGGGCAGCCTGTCCAGGAGAAAGGGGAGAAGAAGGCTGGGGTACTGGGAGTGTCACTTGAGGGGACTTTAGGCAGCAGTGAATGTGGAGCACTTGCTGGCTCCTTTGCTTCTGGGAGTGACCGTAAACTCCCGACTTTATTTCCCCACACTTCTGACCTTAAGTAACCCTGACTCTCTCATTTCTTTTCTACCACTTACATGTCTCTACCACTCTCACCTTCCCCCACCCATGGTGCTGGAGCACCCCACAGCCTTGCCTGCACAGGAAGGAACATCAGAGAGAAAATTGAGGTGCTTCAGGTGTAACAGAGAAGGCAGGAGTTAAACGGGGACACTGGGAGAGCCCCACTTACACGCCTAAGTGCAACCATATGGGACCCCTGCAAGGGTGGAGAGTGCGGTGGAACATATCCATACAAAGGGCCAGGTGGCAAAGGGTGGGTCAGATAGGAGTCCCAGATGCCCTGGAGCCGGAATCCAGGTGCTGGTGTCACTGGCACCATATTTCCAGCCTTGGGTGGCTCAGCAACTGGGTCAGAATGGATGCCAGGAGGTATAAGCTCAAGTGAAAGCTTGCAGGGTCCCAAGGTCTTCCATAAAGACCCCGATGGGTCAGACCCTATCCCTGCCTGAAGGGCCTTCAGGACTAGGAGGGGAGTCGTCACAGACACAGAGGGTCACAGTGGCGGTGGTCAGGGCTGTGGTAGAGGGGCATGTGGAGAATGGAGAGCTCAGAGGAGGAAGAAGCTTATGTCCTTGAGTTGGGGAGGGGGTCAAAAAGGGCTTCACAGAGGAGGTGACCTGTGAACCGTGTCTTAAAGATGAGCTGCAATTTATTTCTAGAAAAGGAAAAGAACTTCTGTGGGCAGAGGGAGCAGATGTGCAAAGGACTAGAGGTGGAACCTGTTTTCATAAAGGTCGTCCAACTCTGCCTGACAAGGCTCATCAAGAGGATGGGTGCAGCTGGGACGGGGGGGATTAGAAGTTTCCCAGGTAGATAAGGTGGGTGTGGGGTTGGAGAGGGAGCTATTCCAAGCAGAAGGGACAGCAGGTGCCAGGTCAAGGAGGAAACAACGTGGTGTGCCTTGGGAGTGGATGTTGGTGGCAGGTGGGAGAGGTCAGTGGGGGGCCTGGTGGTTGGTCAAGGTCTGGAGGGCAGGGGAGCCATGGAAGTTTGTTGAGCAGGGAGGGGTAGAGCCTCAGCCATTTGTTTGTCCCTTTGACTAAATCTCGTGTAGAGGCTGGTCTTCATCTCTGAGACTAGGAGACATTCATAATCCAGAAGGCAACTCAGAAATTAACCAGGCGCCACATGCACCACACACACAACACACAATATACACAACAGACACAAATACACACATCACACCATGTACCCACACCACACACCGCCTACCACACACACACTCCCTCATACCCTCAACCTATCACACCTGCATCCCAAATCACATACACAACACACAAAATATGCAACATGCCTTGCATACCACATATCACACACACACAACAAACACAGATACACAGAACACGCATCACGCCAGATACACAAAAGGAGCACACCCAAATACATCACACACAGCATATCTACACACATACCATACGAACATACCATACACAGCCACACACCCATGCACACACACATCCCACACTTATACTACACACACACACACCACACACCCCCACACACTCCATGCATGCACTGCTCATATCCTATGCACACACCCTACACCAACCACCCACACACCACAGAAAACACAGCTGTTATGCCTCACGTACGCATCCTTAATACAGATCCTTGTCCTGCCTTTGACACTGGAGCCAGGTCTTGGAGGAGGCTTTTGTCCTCACTGGTGAAGTTCGGGTCAGCGGCTTAGCCGATCCTTGGCATTGGCAAGACCAGGCATGAAAAACTAGGTACCCAGAGCATGTCAGGGGCCCATGCAGGAGAACAAAGACTCCAGGGTGGTGGGACAGCGTGAGAGAAGTCACGGGAATGGGAGGGGCTGGTGCAAGAGCACAGGTGGCCCAAGAGAGACACAGTAGCAGCCCATTGTGCGGAACCAAGGGCTGGATGGGTCAGGCCCTGAAGGCCCCTGAGCACTGGGCAGGGATCCCTGTGAGAGGAGGTCAGCACACAGAATGAAGAGCGCGGGTCTGAATCGGGGCCCTCATCCCTACTCTGCCACTGAACCAGTTTCGAGTGTCAGCATCACCTGGGTATCAGCAGTGTGGACATCTCATTGAGGCTCTTTCCCTGGATTTGGGAACAGGAGGGGATGAGAACAGACTTGGGGAGGGGAGTGGGGCGAAGGCCCTAAGGTGGGCATGTGCCTGCCACCCATTCAAGGACCTCGTCCTGACTGCCAACCCACCACTCTCACCAGGACCCCTGCCCAGTTCCCCAGCTTCCTTACTCTTTTCCAGCCTTGGGGTGTCCTCACTATGGTCTCTAGTTGTGACTCATGTTGGGCAATCTGTGGTCACGGCTTTATCCCACCCCCTGAGCCTTCCCTGAGCTGTTCCCTCACCTTGGCTGCCTTCTCTCCTGCACTTGGTCCCTGACATCCTGCTGTAGCCTGGCCAGGATGATGGTGTGGGTGGAGCAGAGAAATGAAGATGGCAGAGCTGGGCACGGGGATGGTGTGGGAGGGGAGGCCACTGTGTGTGGAGCCTTCTGGGCCACTGTAGGATTTAACATTTTATTCTGAGTGGGATGGCTCCCACAGCCATCTTTGGAGAGCAGAACAGGAACTGTCATTGGGTTAATGAGCGCTGTCTGCCTGCTGGATGGAGAATGGAGAAAGCAGAGAGGAGCGGACTCAGGGAGGGCCCCAGAGCTGGTGAGACCCTTGGGCCCTTGGACCTAGAGAGGACAGCAGAGGTGATGACAAGGGGTCAGGTTCCGGATACTTTTTTCAGCTTAAGCCAGCGGGATTTCCTGAGGGACGCAGCATGGGGTGGGGAGAGGGAGAGCTGTCAAGGATTTCATCAACGTTTTCAGCTTTAGCAACTGGTAGAAGGAGCCATCCCTGACCGACTTGGGGAAGGTGAGGACTGGGAGAAGGCTTGAGGGAGGGGAGCCATCTGTGAAGCGGGGACATGAGCAGCCCTCCTGGGTGGGGCTGTTGTGAAGCAGCATGTGAATGTTGATTCTCAACTGAGCAGTTCTACACATGGGATATGTCACCACTGATCTGTGAGGGTCTTAAGGGATGGCCAAGGCTCATGGTTTCACACTGGAGTCCTGAAGGCCATGGGGTACAGGTAGCTGCAGAAGGACATGAGTCCCATCTCCCCACAACCCACCCCACCCGACCCTGAGGAGCTACAGCGTCTAGGACCAAGCCCGTCTCTTATGCTTACACACTGTGTGACAAGGGGCAGCGTCTGACAACCCCTCTGCCTCTGTGTTCCCTTGTTGAAAATGAGGATGATGCCGGGCTCGGTGGCTCAGCCTGTAATCCCGCGCCTTTGGGAGGCTGAGGCGAGTGGATTGCCTGAGCCCGCGGGTTCGAGATCCGCCTGGGCAGCGAGACCTCATCTCTACAATAAATCAAAAAATCAGCCGGGCGTGGTAGCGCATGCCTATAATTCTGGCTACTCGGAAGGCTGAGGCGGAAGGATCGCCAGAGCCCAGCAGGCGAGGCTGCGGTGGCCGGGAGCGGCCACTGCACTCCAGTCTGTGCGACCGAGTGAAACTCCAACTCAAAAAAAAAAGAAAATGATGATCACAGCGATCACAACGCCTACTTTAGGACTGCTGTGAGGTGAGCTCCTTGGGAAACTGAATGAACCGATCCCCGAAAAGCAATGACAACAGCTGTGCACAGGAAATGCTCGGTCCTTGCTGTACAGTTGAGTCTTTTTGTTTGGAACATGAAGTTTCTAAGCGATAAGAAAAATGTGATCCCAGCTGCCTCCCTTGTTATCATGAGGAAGACCTTGCATCCCAGATAGGGAAGCAGAGATTGACTGAGGGAAGGAGAAGCTGTCCGTGACTCTCACACCCAAAGAGAGGAGTATTGTCATCCAGGGTCGCAAGGGGATGTCCCTGCAGGGGTCCAAGCAGAAACAGGGTGAGCTATGTGGCGGGGGGGGTTACACTTCCAAGTCCTGTCTACATCTGAGTGAGGGACTTCATGGCCAGGTCCCCTGGGGTGGTGTGACTCAACATGTCATCACCTTCCCCAGTCAGGACCTGGAGGGACAGACATGGTGGGTTCCTGGCTTATGGGGACCCCGGTAACTTCCTCTCCCCAGATTTTCTGAACTGTCACCGAGGGACCAAAATTCAGACTAGCAGTGACTTGGCTCAAAAACCCGTCGAGTGGAGCACAAGTGGTGTCCAGGCATGTGGTTCTGGGCAAGTGTGTCAGGAGACGCTGCTGCTCATAGACGTCGGTGCGTAGAATGGGCAAGGGTGACAACCTTCCCCACATCCTCTGCACACCTGATTCCATCCCCTGCTCAGCTCCCCTAACACCTGGAGTTCTCGACTCAGCTCTTCTTTTCTTTGCACCTGGACTTCCCCTCATGGAAACTGGGGGTGACATGATGGCTATGACAGTACCTACCTTGCTGGGTAGACATAAAGATCTTTAGGTATCCCACACCAGGGCTGATATAGAGCTGGCAGTGAGTAACTTCAGGGATGCCACTCACTCTAGAAATGTTTATTGAGCACATGTTTTAGGCACTGCAGTTCCAATTGTGTCTGCCTCCTTGCAGCTTTATGTGCCTTGGAAAACAAACAAACAGCAGCAACAACAACAAAAAAAAACAAAGAAAAAGGAGGCCAGCACAGTGGCTTATGCTTCTAATCCTAGAAATTTGTGAGACTGAGGCGAGAGGACAGCTTGAGCCCAGGAGTTCGAGACCAGCCTGGGCAACATAGCGAGACCTCGTATCTACAAAAATCTGAAAATTAGTCAAGGATGGTGACGTGTGACTGTAGTCCCAGCAACTCAGAAGACTGAGGTGGGAGGATCACCTGAGCCCAGAAGGTTGGGGTGATCCATGATTGTGCCACTGCCCTCCAGCCTGGGTGACAGACCCAACATTAAAAAAAGTAAGAAAAAGCAGCAAACTATGGGTCTGGAGATCAGAGCTCTTGAGAAAATCTAGCAGGGAAAAGCGAGGTGAAGCCTGCAGTTTGAAGATAGTGCTCAGGGGAGGCTCAGGGTGGAGGTGACATTGGAGCAAGAACCAGGAGGGACCAGAGCTGGGGAAGGACCCAGACCAGCCTCAGCCTTCGACCTCCACTAAATCTGACCTGTGCTGTGACACCTCAGTCTAGGGAGTATCCTGGAAGGCAGGGGGTCCAACTTCTGAGTCCCCACGCCCCAGGAGCCATCCCCTTACCCAGCCCAGCTTTCCCTCTCTCATCCTCAGGGTCCCGATCAACCCTGGTGGGAAGCAAAGGCTGCAGTGAGGCCGGGGCTCAGGATTCCCAGGTGACCTCCATACACTCGAGGCCCCCCGGGGTGCTGGTGGCCTCCTATGCCCGCTTCTGCTCCTCCAACCTGTGCAATGCAGCCAGCAGTAGCAGCGTCCTGCTGAACTCCCTCCCTCCTCCAGGTATGGGACCCAGGGTCATGAACAGATGGGGCCCAGAGACACACAGGCTCGGACTCAAGGGGGGTAGTTGCAGCTGAGCGTGGAGCTGTGCACTCCAACCTTCTCTCTGCCCCCCAGCTGCCTCCGTCCCAGGAAACCTGCAGTGTCCTGCCTGTGTGCAACCCTTAGGAACCTGCTCCCAAAACTCTCCCATGGTTACATGCCCCAAGGGCACCACTCATTGTTATGATGGTAGCATTGATGTCAGGGGAGGTGAGTGCTGAAAGCTGGGTTTCAGGAATGATGGAGGTGGGGCCTGGACTCCTGGGTCTGAGGGAGGAGGGATTGGGGGCCTGAACTCTTGAGTCAGAGGGAGGAGGGACTGGGGGCTTGAACTCCTGGGTCTGAGAGAGGAGGGGCTGGGCTTCTGGACTCCTGCTTTTAGGAAGTTAGGTGTGCTATACTTATGTCCTCTCTGACTGGGTCTTCTCTCTCTAGGTGGACTGACCACCACAATGGGTGTTCAGGGCTGTGTGTCTTCCAGCTCTTTGTTGAACCACACCAAGACCATCGGGATCTTTTCCATGCATGAAAACAATGTGGAAGTGCCTTCTCCCCCAGATGGAGTTGCTTCAGCCCCTGCCCTCGCTTGGGTGGTTGTGCTGGGGCTATCCCTAGCCCTTTGGTGTGGGGGTGGGTTTTGCCTTTCCTGCTGACTCCATTTCCTCATGATTCTTAAGCCCTGCTGATCACCCAAACCCATCCCTCCCTCTGACCCCAGAACCCTTCCCTAAACTAAGGAAGAACTAGGAACAAGAGCAGATTCAAGATGTGAGGAAACAGCCCAGCTCACTCCAGTAGAAGCAGAAAGGAACTGATTAATCAGGACTGTGGGAAGGACACGGAGCTCTGAGAGTCCCAAAGAAGCAGGCTGGGGGCCACACCACCCAGGACGATGCCCAAACCACAGGCACAGGGCAGCTCTGATCAAGATCTTTCAGCCCATGCTGGGTCCAGAAATGGCAACGCACCCTGCACTGCTGAGGCTGACCTGGGACTCCAGAAGTTTCTGCACACCACCACCCATTCTCAGACAACAATAACAAAATAATTGATACAGGCGTCCTCTGCTTGGTGGTGTTCCTTGCTTATGATGCTGAGTCCTTTGTGGGAGCACCTGGTGGGGAAAGCCTGGGTCACATGTCTATGTCAATTCCTGCAGAGAATGCTGGGGAAATGAACTTTCAGGCTTCTGCCCGGAAAAGGCAGAAAATTCCCCAGATATAGCAAAGGCACTTAAACTGTGCTGGGCAGCCAGGAAACATGAACTGTGTTCACCACAAGAATTTCCAGTGGGACATCCCAGAGCAGATGGCCCCTGGGAGGGCAGGTGTGTGGACTAGAGTGGAGGAGCTAGGCCTTACCTAGAGATTTGAGAGGTGTCAGCTACGGAAGGGGACCAAAGATGTGTGACCAAGAGGACAGGAGAGGGGATGAACTATGACAGGAAGGGCCCAGGCGGGCTCCTGGGAACAGCTTCATATGAAGGCTGGAGAAGCAGTTTAAAAGGAAAGGAGTGGCTGGCGGGCGGGTGGTGGGGGGGAGGGATGTGGATGTCTTAGAGATTTGCAGGGTTGGGGTTTTGGGAAGCTAGAATAAAGACAAAATCTCTTCTCAACCCAGAAAACCTTTCCACAAAGATAGAAGAAAAGTAAATCAGTTTTATCAATGAATAATCCAGAATGTGATGTGTATCGCAGGCAACCTGCCAGGAGAATAGAAAGAGAGAAATGGCACCCTTTAGCCAAGCAGAAGCAACCCACGACATGCATGTTCTCTAGATAAACAGTGACTAGTCCCAGGGTAGGAGGACTTGACATCACCTCAGTTCATCCTCACACCACCACCCATCCTCATTGACCTGGTGATGGGGTTGACCATCTCAGGGCTTCACTGTCTCTGTCCACAGGAAAAACAATCTCCTCCTATCTCTATGGCAGCAGGTATCTGGCATCCTGGAGTGAGGTGTCCCCAGAAGTTAGGCTCCCACCTTCTCCTAGAAACTGGGAGGTGGGGTGCTCTATCCTGATGTATCCCTTTCAAAGAGATGACACTCGGATCCTTGAGGAAGACAGTTCCAGGTTGCAGGGCAGGTGAGAGGCTTAATTGGATTTTAGAAAGTTTTACACACATCACAAAGGGACACAGAGAGAATTTTTAATGACACCTTTTCCAAACAGGATGCTCTGAGAGAAAAGAGGAGAGTCTTTCCCTTTCTGCCCCAGGAAACACATTTCTATTTTTTATTTCATATTTATCTACACAGAGGTTGTTCTAGGAACAGATGTGGTATATGGGACCAAAGATTGCACTACAAACCCGAGACGTGCCTGGCAGGTTGAGCAATGAGAATGTTGGTGACCTAGGTGAAGCAATTTTAGAGAAAGGGGAAGATGGAAAGTGAAAAGGAGGAGTGAGTGGAAGGGGAGGAAAGGGCAGAAAAGAAAGTATCCAGAGAGCTGAGGAGGCTTGACCGAGAAGGAAGGGGCAGTGGAAGGGTTGGAAACCCAAGGAAGGATGTTATTCAAGAAGTGGCCTCCAAAGAGGTATGGGATGAAGGGACAGAGCCGATGGAGAGGCGGTGTTGAAGGTTGGCAGGGGATAGGCCCTATCCATCTCTTGGGGCCAATGGTCACCTGGGGAATGATGATTTTGGTGTCTTGAACATCCAAGTCTGCAGTTCAGATAAGAGTCAGGGCTGGCCGGACTTGGTGGCTCAGCCTGTAATCCCAGCACTTTGGGAGGCTGAGGTGAGTGGATTGCCTGAGCTCGCAGATTTGTGACCCACCTCGGCAACTTGGTGAGACCTCATCTCTACAATAAATCAAAAATTAGCCGGGCGTAGTAGTGCGTGCCTATAGTTTCAGCCACTTGGAAGGCTGAGGCGGAAGGATCGCCAGAGCCCAGCAGCTCGAGGCTGCGGTGGCCGGGAGCATGCCACTGCACTCCAGTCTGGGTGACAGAGTAAGACTCCAACTCAAAAAAGAGTCAGGGCTTAGAGTTGAGACTCAGCCGGGCAGGATCAGACCCTGTTTGTGAGATGTGGATGGTGAGACTCTCAAGGCCTCATTCGTGGTCAGAGTTAAGGCTTTGTCTGTTTCTGAGATCAGATAAGGGGTCAAGGTGCAGGGAAGAAAGGCTGGTCCCTCCATCCTGCAGACCTCCAGGGCTCACTCTGTCTCCCCCTGCTGCTTTTGTCTCCATCTCCATTCTCTAGCGAATATTCTTTTGCAGCAATCTTTCAATTCCCTCTCTCCACTTTCTCTTTTCTTTTTTTTTTTTTAAATTTAGTACTTGCTACTTCCTTGACTCTCTTTTCTCTTATCTTTTTCTTCTCCACTTTCTCCCCTTTTGCCATTGCAAGTCCCACTGGTAGAATTTAAATAGCTTCTAAAGTTGGTCCTTTGTTGGCAGAAATTGATTTTATACCCAACATGAACAATTTAATTAAAAGAGTATTAGATGGTTCATGTCTCTGCAAATAAACAAACAAAATCTACATTCCAATGCTGCCTTCTTTCAGAATTGATTTTTTTTTTTTACAGTCACTTGCAATAAATTTTTAAAATCTTGTCACTTGGTTACAGAAATCCAATGGGGCAAAAACTTTACTTCCTATAAAAGGAAATCAGACTTGATGAATCCTGTGCTGGCTTTGAAGAAGTAAAGTCGGGTGTTGATAAATGCAGATACAGGAAATTTCAAGCCAGGGGGATGGTAAACAATGGGCCATATTGAATATAGCCACCAGTTATAAAGGGACAAACCATTCAAATGACAATTGAATTATAGTCAACATGAACTCCAGCCCTCCTCACCAAAAATCTTCTGGTTGAAACTGTAACATAATCTTCCAGGTACCTAACTCTTTGGTGAGTATATTTTGAAATTAATGAAACTAAAAGCACCTATATTTCTTTTCTTTTTTCTTGTTTCTTTTTTCTGAATTGGAGTCTCACTCTTGTCGACCAGGCTGGAGTGCAGTGGCACACTCACAGCCACCCCAGCCTCAACCTGCTAAGCTCAGGTGATGGCCAACCTCGACCTGCTGAGCTTAGGCAATCCTTCCACCTCAGCCTTCCAAGTAGCTGGAACTACAGATGCATGCCACAACA